CTCTGGCCTCTTGTACATGTAACTACTAACGGTATTCAGTGGGATTAAAGGGCTCTGCACTGGTGAGTTTAGATGTGTAACTGGAAAGGGATGTGATCTTTTAATTTTTTAAATATATCTTCATTGATTTCAGAGAAACATCAATGACAAAAGAATCATTGATTGGCTGCCTCCTGCATGCCCACACTGGGGATTGAGCCCACAACCCAGGCATATACCCTGATTGGGAACTGAACCGTGGCCTCCTGGTTTATAGGTCAATGCTCAACCACTGAGCCAGGCTGGCTGGGCAAGGATTGGCACTTTCTTCAGAGCTGCCACCTCCCACTGTGTTCCTTACAACTCCCTTCCAATAAGATTGGCTCTGGAACTTTTTACCTCTCCTCTTCTCTTTTTAAATGAAAACAACAGGGATAATAAAAAATGCCAATCCTAAGACAATTTTGAAATTTAAAAATCTTTCCACTCTCCTATTACCATGGGCCCAGGCCAAGATCAGAAAGCTTATTACCAAGCAAGCAGTTAATACATAAATTAATTATTTCATTATTATTTGATTATTAACGTTGATAAAGTGTTAACAAAAGGAATTCCAGGTGAGCGGTAGAGGAAGAGTTAAAGCAGCTAAACTATCTTTTGCTGAAGAAATATCCTACCTTAAACTTTCTTTTTCTGTTTATTCCCAGGGAAGAACAAGGCAAACAACTCTTTGTGCTGAAATATGTGATCATGAGTGTTAGTGAGGAGAACTAAGATCGTCCCTGGGATTAGTGCAGAACCAGCACAGGAGATAAAGCCTCACAGGGGTGTGAAACAGCAGGGCAGTCCATGCAAAAGCAGCTGCGTGACTAGGACTTAAATTCAAAACAAACAAAGCAGGAACATGTTTTAATGTTTAGCCTCTGTCACCAAGTACTTGAGGGCAGGAGACCTTTACGTAAAACTTTCAGCTAGCAGGAAAACATTTTGTGTTTAATGAGGAAACACTCTGAGTAGTGGAGAAGCTGGTGAGAGGCTTTGGATAAGCACAGGGTGTGGAATCTGGAATCTTCCCTGGGGGTGGGGAAGTGTTGTCTCTGTGAGTTAAAGTCTCCAGATAAATTGGAAAGGCAGTCATTATTTAGCATCCCTAGGGCCAGGCCCTGGGTTTAACAGGTCATGCTGTGCAATGTCACAAAGCAGATTCTACTGCCTTATAATAGATGAAGAAAGTAGAACAAATTATTAAAGTTATCTATCAACTAAAGTGAAGCCAGGATCCAAAATCAAGTGTGCACGATTCAAAGCTAATTTTTTTTTTTTTGGAACAAAGTCGGTATTTCTTCCCCCTATACCAGTGATGGTGAACCTTTTGAGCTTGGCGTTTTGAAATATTTGCAACCATAGTAAAACAAAGACTTATATTTTTGATATTTATTTTACATATTTAAATGCCATTTAACAAAGAAAAATCAACCAAAACAATGAGTTCGCGTGTCACCTCTGACACGTGTGTCATAGGTTCGCCATCACTGCCCTATACTAATGTTTCCGAAGATGCTTTCATTAGAACATCTGTGACTTTTTTTAACATTTTCAGCATACATGGTATGAACTTGTGTGGTTGTGTGTGTTTTAAGTTACAGCCCAGAGGTAGCTAGTATTCTAATCAGGAAGCCAGGCACCAGAGGTGGTCCTGAGCATTGTTTCAGAAACCAGGATTTCTGCTCTTTTCCTCCAAGCAGCTCACTGAATGCCAGGTTGGGTTATTTTTTGTGAAATTAGTGGTTTGATAATCAGCAAAAATGATAGATGACATTGGAAAAGAGGTCTCAGTGGTGAAATGAAAGCTATTGAGGATATGTAGTTTGGCAAAACATCTTTTCAAGACACCTGCAGCCTGTAAGATGATGTATGACCACAGGGAGGCCTGTGACCTGAGCCCGGGAGAAGGCTAGAGCAGTGGTTCTCTACCTGTGGGTCGCGACCCCTTTGGGGGTCGAATAACCCTTTCACAGGGGTCACCTAAGATCATCGGAAAATACATATAATAATTCCATATTGTTTTTGTGATTAATCACTATGCTTTAATTGTGTTCAATTTTTAACAATGAAATTGGGGGTCACCACAACATGAAGAACTATATTAAAGTGTCATGGCATTGGAAAGGTTGAGAACCACTGCTCTAGAGTCTGGATCACTTAATGATCCTATGCCAGCCACTCGCTTAGGAGGCTTACTGTGGCCTGACTCTGAGTGTAGCTAAATCCTGCTTCCAGAACTATGCTACAGCTGCCCAAAGAGAACATGTTATTCAAGGCAGAGCAAGTCAGAGAGCTAGGACTTCATTGAGCTTATAGAAGCATGTGCATCAACAGAGCTGTGCCAACTTGCTACAATTATTCATTTAACAAAAATCTACCTGTGCACTCGACCTGGGACTCTGACTTTACTTCACTGTTTCAAGGTGCCAAAGCTATTTGAAAAGTAGCTATGTCTTATTTATCTCACTTTTCAGTGGTTGATGTTGTCTTTCAAAAATAATCGACAACAATGTGCATCCAACTTGGCTGAGGTCCGTCTACAATTCTCTTCCTTAGACCAGTGGTGTCAGAATCACGTGAGGTTTAGAATTCTTTACTCTCTCAGCATCTTGCATTTTCATGTTCTAGGGGCCGAACCTGAGCTTGAATTGGGAGGCGTTCCCCTAGTAATTTTTACACCCCGAGGACTCAGCTAATGAAGATACAACCAAGGGAGCACCAAGACCATTTGCTGACAGCTTTTCTCATGTAAAATCAGCAACCCAAGAGAGAAGAAACATGCTACAGACGGCTTGGTTTGAAAACCAAGATTGGTAAAGTAAGTGGCAATCTATAAAGCCCTCATCTCCTATAAGCTCTGTGCCATAAATTTGTGGTTATAGCTGTTTGCTTACCCATCTAGATGGAAATAGATCAAAACGAGCCTTTAGACCTTCAGCAATCTCATCCATGGCCAAAGATATTCCACTGTCACTTGGATGGGTAGGAATTATCAACAGCTTTCCAACGGACTATAGTCATCCATTTTCTATGACAACAATAACAACTGTTGGCCAAAAGCCCATCATATCAAATATCTCTTTGGAGGAAAACCAGTTGGGCTATTGGGCTACTGGGCTGCTTTTTCTCACATCAATAAGATGTCTGACTTTCATCCACTCATCAACTATTTATTATGAGCCTTTTGAAACTTCAGTAGTTTTAATTTCTAATAAATGCCATGAAAGATTACAGATGCAGAGGTCTAGGTCAGGACTTCTTTCTCCGAGTTGTCACTCATCATCAAACCATGACACGGAGGGAGACACTCCCTGGTACAGGAGTCAGAGATCTTGGGTCCAGGCACTGGCTACAAACTCAGTGGCAAGTCAGTAAAGCTCCTATTTCTTCTTTCAGAGAACAGGGAATAAAATGCTTGTCTCGCCTACTTTTCAGAACTTACTAATTAATTCATAATTATTTATTCACCATCTACTATACTCCAGGAATGTTTGCAGAACCTTGGTGATTCAGTTGGGAACAAGACACACAGGGGTGTTAAAAGTAGGTTTACAGTTGTAATACAAATAAATAATAGCAATGATTGATAAATAATAATATAAAAATAAGCTCTGTTTCACATACTCACAATGAACTGTAAACCTAATTTGCCCACCCCTGTATGAGATGGCTGCTCTAAAGTAGACTGATTCTAATAATCAGAAAAAAATGGATACATATAATGATCTATGAAACTTATTTTATATAAGCAGATAAATTTATATATGTGTATATTAATAGCTATATTATAGAGGCAAATATATGTGCACATATATCTTTAAAGTTTAAATGAAAGCCTTTTCTAATGATGCAGTGTATTTGTTTAGATTTCACATTGCATGATTTAAGATGAGAAAGGCAATAATCTAATAAAAGATATATTGCTCTAGACAAAACACCTAGTACATTAATAAAAGGTGTTGCCATATTTCATTAATGAAAAAATATCATTTTCTTCCAGGATGCATTCCTCAACATAGAAAACTTTCTAGTTTATGCTGCAACACTCTCTTACATATAGTAAAATTTATCATTAAGAGAATCCTCCTCCTTATTAATTTTTTCTTTACTTAAGAACTAAGATGTGTGCAGGCAGTCTCTAAGATGGCCTGAGTAACCCCTGTGTCCTTGTGTGATCCCTTCCTTTACGTGTGGGTTAGATTTAGCGACTCATTTCTGATAAACTGTATATAACCAAACTGGTGGGATGCCATTTACAAGATGAATTGTAAGAAAACTTTGGCTTACATCCTGGAAACACTCTCTTGCTATGGCTTTCCTTTGCCCTCTCCTTCCCTCTACTCCCTTTCTCCTCCTTCTCAGGCTCCCTCTCTCTCAGTTTAATCATCTATAGAGAGGCCTCTTGAAGGATCAGAGCCACATGAAGGAGAACTAAGGCTTCCCAGCCAACACCAGCACTGACTGTCAACCAAGTGAGTGTGCCTTTTTTGGAAGCAGACCATCCAGACAAATCCAGGTTTCAAATGATGTAGCCACACCCAATAGCTTGGGTGTGACTTCATGAGAGAGCCCCCTGAGTCAGGAAAACCCAGCTAAGCCATCCCTGACTTCCTCATTTAGAGTAACTGTGAGATAATGCTTGCTGTGTAAGCCACCAAGTTTTGGGTAATAACACAGGAATAAGTGACAAATACAGAATTCAAGGACTTTTGAGTACAGTATTATGAAAATGAGTAGATTCAGAATCTCATGCTTTATACACAAATTGAACTAGAATAATATGCTGATGTCATTTAGTACCTTCATCATGAAGAAATAAATTTGCCACTTACTTGAACACAATGGGATATGACTGATTTTCCTGATATCTACTGTGTCCATTGAATCAAACATAAATACTTCATAATCAGCTTCATTGAAACTCTATTTTTTATCAATGTATTAGTTAAAAGATTTTAAAAATGGCAGTCTTTTACCTCCAAAGAAGTACTTCTCTCCAGTTTTAACTTGAAGAGGACTGTTAGTGCGAACTGCGGATGCCTCATCTCCATCAATGGTGAGAATAGCAAAATTTTCCTTAGCAAGAAAACGAACCTCGTGCCACTGCCCATCGTTCAACCCAGAGCCTGTAAAGTACAAAAAATAGGAAATTTATTTTTTTAAGATGATTCAGGTTTAAACAATATTTAATATCAACAGAACTTTATAAGTAAATATTAGTTATATCTTAATGTAGGAAAATTCAGTGCTACTAACAATTGATATTTCACGTTTACTTAACATCATGTTTTATTCTGCATTGAACCAAATAAGGAATAATGTAATCCAAGTTAAGTAGATAGTATTAATGTGCCATTGTGGTATTTGGGAAAATGAATGAGATAAATAAAGTTGTTTGGAAGGTAATGATGAATCATTTAAATTTAATAACTTATTTTCTGGTTAGCTTTACTAGCCTCTACCATCATAAAATGGATTTATGACTTTTGTCTAATGTCTCTCTTTTTATAAACTGTTTTTGCATTATTAATTTTTCTCAATAAGAACATATGGAAAGTACAGTTGATAGAAATTAACTATTTTTATAGTTATTTGTGTTAATTGACCACTAATAAGCATGGCAAACAATACCAGGATTATCTGATCATTTACCAATAAGGTATCTTTATAATGAAATTGGTTATATTTAAGTAAATAGAAAGTAAAAAAATAAATCAACAACTCCCACCCCTAACAATCACATTTCACTGATGCTGAGGATAAAGATCTTGGGAAACAAAAATCATATCAAGCTCTCCATTACACAGGCAATAAAGTTTCTGTTTAATGTGTTTATTTTATGAAGAATAATTAGAAAATTAAGGAGCATATAGCGAATGGCCACCGAACATAAATATCTGGAAAGAGTTTAAGAAACACGAAGAGACAGAGAAGTTTATGAGGGTCAGAATGGCCTTCTTTGACCTTTTACAGTTCTGTGCTCTGTCAAGGGAAGCGATTTTGTGTTAGTCGGCTCCAGGTAGAATAATGCAGAGTCCACAGGTAGAAGTAACTTGAAGATAAGCCTAGCAGGTAAAGGCCTCAAAAAATGGAATGAGAGTAAATCAATAAAATGCTGATGACGGCTCCCAGGCTCTGGTCTGAGGTCTGCAAACAAAGCTTACAGACCAAAAGGCAGGCTGCTGCGGTCCATTTTGGTGCAGCCTGGTAACTAAAAATATTCTCACGTTTTTAACAATTAAAAATAAATAAAAATGTTAATTTACAGGCAACAATTATATAAAATTCACATTTCAGTGTCCATATAAAGTTTTATTGGACTGCAGGCACGCTCACTTGTTTCACATTGCCAAAGGCAGAGTAAAACAAACAGCAGCTACAGAGACTGTTTCCCTGGCAATGCCTTCACTATTTACTGTGTGGTCCTTGACAGAAAAAGCATAAACCAGTGGTTGCTTTATACTATCAAACAGGAATGCTACTTTAAAGAAAAACATTAAGGCCTGTTGAAACTTAGAAGATAGTCACATGTAGGTAGTATTTACTGACACATATCATTACAAATTATACTGGTAAATATCATTACAAAAATCACTTCTCAGGTATTCATTTTAGATGTTCAAATTTTAATTCAGTATTACATATTTGAGCGCATTTTATTTCAACAGAGGAAATTGAAATTCCTTGCTCTAAAGTAACATAGTAAATGACCTCCAAACTATGGAATATGTATAATACATATACACAGATAAATATAATTTTTTGGTGCTGAAATTACTATACAAATGTAAAACCTTATTCTAAAATTAAAATCAGGCTCTGGCTTGATAGCTCAACTGCTTAGAGTGTCATTCAGATACACCAAGGTTGCAGGTTCGATCCCTACAAGAATTAGCCAATGAATGCATAAATAAGTAAATCAATAAATAAGTGGGTCTCTCTCTCTCTCTCTCTCTCTCTCTCTCTCTCTCTCTCAAAATCAATAAAGCAGTTAAAAATAAAATTAAATTAAAATCAGTTAGCTGTCCGAAAAGTAGTAGTAATGTTTACTGAAAAACTTCCTTCTCAAGTAGTTGGCCTGTATCTTTACCATAACGTTTTTCTCTCAAGTACAAAACTGGGTTTAGTATGGATTAACCATAAAAGAGCCTGGTTTTGATTCTGGCTTTTGTTTTTCTTTACAATGTGATAAACCCTGCTTTAAAATGCAATTTGGGGTCAGGATCTCAAGTACATGAATCTTACAAATGTTCATTCCACTAATTTAATTCTAAATAATCACACATCAGAGGAAGTCACTTGTAAGATATCTTTAACTGACAGTGTCTCGTCCTATATGGTAGACCAAAAGGCCTTTCTAAAAATCCCTGTGAAAATCTTTTCTTCACAAAATTAATTTATGTAAGAAGATCATCAGCTTAATTGTTCATGGCAAAATATCTATTATTCCAATCAGATTAAAATAAAAAGGTTACTTTATTTTCTCCAGGAAACTTCATTACTAGAGACACTGGACTGAAGATAAAAGCAGCCTGTTGATAGCAGCCACTGCCACATCTGAGCCTGAACTGTGATTTCTATTCATTTTAGTTCCAATTATTATTTTGAACTTTTCATGTTAATAATCATCCAGAGGCGAGCTTCAGCAATCTGTGATAGGAATGGGCTGCAAATATAATGAAGCCCATTCTTCAACGGGGGAAAGAATTATCTAATTGCTCAAAATAAAATATGCTACTTATTTGAATTTTTCTTCATCTGCATGTTATTAAAAAAAAGTAATAGCCCAAAGGCTCACTCTAGAGACGAATCTAATTTCATGGTCTCTGTATATGCAAGTATTTATAGATACACTGTTCTAAGCTTTCTAGGGCAATCACTCTGGTAAGCACTTTACTTGCATTTAACTCACTTATAATTCACAGAAAATTAAAATATATAGATATATATTTCCCAAATAAGTAGTAGGTGAGATAACTGAATCTAATAAAATGTAAGCATCTGTAGCTAATAAATATCAGAATTTCAAATTATAATTCAGATATATCTGTTTGGTTCCAGAGGCTGAATTCTTACATCAAACACACAAATATAAACAACAACAACAACAAAAAGTATATCACTGTGCATCTGTGGTCAGTCGAGTTCTCTTCCACTGTGCACACACGGGCGCGCGTACACACACACACACACACACACACACACACATACACTTCAATTTGCTGCCACCACTGTACAGGAGCTCAGTTTCTGGTGATATCCTTGTCTCATGTAGTACGAGGGTTGCACGTACACTGAGACACCATCCAGTTTCAGCATTTGCACTGTCAGATTTCTGTTGTACTGGAAGATCACATACTATATGTCTTTCAGTATTTTCTCTATAGAAATATTTTAATTGCTTTTAGAGAGAGAGGAAGGGAGAGAGAGATGGAAACATTGAGAGAGAAACATCCATTGGCTGCCTCCTGCACGCCTCCTACTGGGGATTGAACCCACAACCTGGGCATGTGCCCTAACCAGGAATCTAACTGGGGACCTCTTGGTTGCATGGGACAATGCTCAACCAATTGAGACATACTGGACAGGGCTTTTAGTATTTTTTTAATATATATTTTATTGATTTTTTACAGAGAGGAAGTGAGAGGGATAGAGAGTCAGAAACATTGATGAGAGAGAATCATCGATCAGCTGCCTCCTGCACACTCGCTACTGGGGATGTGCCTGCAACCAAGGTACATGCCCTTGACCGGAATCGAACCCTGGACCCTTCAGTCCCCAGGCCGACGCTCTATCCAGTGAGCCAAACCAGCTAGGGCTTAGTATTTTTTTACACTGGTGTTTTTCTCTTAAAATTGTAATCAGTGTGGAAATCTTATCTACAGGGTTGAGAACAAATTCTAGCATTTTCTCTCAAGGCACATTAAAGTAAGTTCATGAGTATTAAAACCATCACTATATGTTGTGAAACTGAGCAAAGGGAGGTCTGTGTTGACTCTTCACTTTATCATGAGTGGATCAGTGCTCTTAAACCTGCTATCTTGTTATTAGCTTGTAGAGCTAAGACTCTAATCTAGACCTTTTGACATCCAAGAAGCAGTTTTCCCCACTATTCAGAAATCAGCTGTCAAATTTTATGATGAGAAAAAAAGAGGAGGCCATCGTTTCAGCATATTTCACCTCTGCCTGAGTCTATTCTCAGGGAGACTCAAACAACTTTGCATGAAAGACGGACTACAATAACATTATATGACCTCTCTTGCTGACTTGCTCCAAAATGTGTTTTCCCTTTATCACTTCCTAGACCATCTGCCATTTGGAAGAAGTAGTACAGAATTAGTTTTGCATCAGAGGAGCTATAAGAAATCACCCCTTTAAAGAATTTTACAAATTAACAATATTACTTAATAATTTTTAATTCATATGAAATGAAACATTAATGTCATTTAAGAACTTTTGAAATTCAATACCATATGGAAATCACTCAGAATACCACAGCTGATCAGATCATTGATATAAGATATAAACTTACAATAAATACTAATACATTTATTCTGGAAAGAAATGTACTATCATTCCAAGTTTTATTAAAAATACCAAAGAACATAAATCACAATGAACACATCACCAGATAGGACTGAAGCAGCACTTCTCCTTTGCTGTGAAAGAGGTGTTATTCCTCCACTCACTATCCTATAGCCAACGACTGTCCCTGAGAAGGGAGACACCCGCCAAGGACCCATACCTGCTACACAGTGGGTTCCTGATGGCTGGACCGTGGATCAGGACAGGCCTGATAAAGAAGGGTGCTGATGCTTGAGCTTAAAAAATAGACTTATGCCTCAAATTTCCTGAGTGCCCACACGTGCCTGGCGCCATCTACACACACTGCACGTGTAGCTGTACTGACTCTTCTCAAGAGTGAGCAGCAAGGGAGCCGAGCACAAGAAACAGTGTTGTAGTTAAGAGGGCTAGTCCAGGAGCCAGGGTTCTGCATTTGCTCCTGTCCTTGCTAACCCGGGCAGGTTACTTAACCTGAACCTCTCCGTGCCTCAGGTCTCTCTTCTCTAAAATGCATATAGCAATGTCCGCTTTATAGATTTCTTTTGAGGAACAAATGAATTAG